GGAAGTCAAATATCTGTGGATAGTTGTTGGACACCCAAAACTGGAGTTTAACTAATTTTCTTTTCAGAATTGAAATCCTTTATCATTGGCCCCTGCTGTGAGTAAAATTCACTTATATACAAAATCCACAGTCACAGCAAGGGTCAAGGGAAAATCATATCAATCCTTGAGATTGTCTCCTGCCAGCTATAAGCCAGCACTAGAAGACAATAGAAGATATGAGGGCAGAAAATAAACAAAGAAATCTGAAAAATAATAACTACAAAAAAAAGTGTTATGGGTTTGTAGAGAGGCTGTTGGTTTTAATTACAATCTTATCTCATATTTGCCTAATATTTTATTTGAGCAATTTTGTAGTAATGGCTATTTTTAAAAGAATTTCAAGAATTTTGTAAGACTCAATATTTATTTACCTCTCACTGTACATTAAGAACAGAGAAACCCAAATAAACAATATGGTTAGTTCCTTCCTGTTGACAATACAATTAAGCAAAAGCAGAATCAATTGTAATAATTTATTTTCAAAAACCTCAGGGGCTCTTGTATTCACACACATGTGCTTGCATGTATTATACACCCATAACACTGAGCTTATTTATATAAATGATATTAGTCTTCTAGACACTAGTTCTTATTGCTAAATTTGGTTAGACTTTTTAATAGTTTTAGTGACAATTTTCTGTTTTCATCATCATCTTACTACTTAGCTGAAAATCTTTATCATTGCGCTAAAAAGGTTCTGTCCCATCTTTAGACAAAAAGTATTATATCTCCTATATAGTTGTTCCCAGCATTTAAGAGCTATTTCCAAAAGCAAAGTCCAGAGATTACACACATCAGAATCTTCTAAAATGCTTAATATCAGTGCATTTCCCCCTAAACTTCCATATCACAATGTCTGGGACTGGGCAGTGACATCTTCATTGTGAACACCCCACATGATCCCTATGGTCACTGTTATTTAAGAATGATGGTTTCTGCTATAAAACTTCATTGTAATTATAAATGTAAATAGTAGGCCTCTTAGTAATAATAGCTGTCATTCTAACATTAATTATTGGGGGAAAAAACAATGATTTTATAATTTGAAGTAAAATTTTAACATTAATTTGTCACATAACTTTCATTCATTCACTTATCCATGCTACCATATAGCTGATACTGGTCCCTTCATTGAATTACACGGCATAGTATAGGAAATATGTTTTATCTATAGATATTTGGCACAACTATGGATCCACAAATAATTATGAAAACTCTGTATCTCCTGTGGAGATCCTTGGCTTGGATTTTAGGAACTACTGTTGCAAATTGTAAATAGTTTCCTTGCCTATTCTTTATCCAATATGACTTTTTACCCTTTCCTATTATCTAGGAGCTCTTGTAACTGTGAGATTGTCATTAATAGAATAAGGAAACATGTGCTGGGATATGTTTATCTGTTGAGTTACCTTAATCAAGGAGAAATTATTAATAGAACACAGAAAGTGGTTATCAAGTATAAACATCAAATTTTAGGTTTCTATTTTGCTAAAAAAAAAATCTTAAGTAAATGGAGTAGAATGGTTTCATTTTGAAAAAAGCAGATTTGCATGATTAATATTTTAAAATTAATGATATATTTTCCTTGATGTATCAACACATTTTTATGAATAAAATTTATAAGCAGAAAAAATTAAAAGCAGCCTGCATCTCCATCACTCAGAGATGATCAGTGTTATTTAGGTGGGTTTCTAGTATGCTTATATTTTTGAAGGGTTATTTTTAAAATAATATGTTATCCATATTGTTATAGACTAGAGGCCCAATGCATGAAATTTGTGCAAGGGTAGGCCTTCATAGCCCCAGCTGCCTCTTGCCACCCTGTTCCTGGCTGCCTCCATCTGGAAGGTCGTCCAGAAGGTAGTCCAGATGGTCATTCTGCTGTTTGGTCATTTGGTCAATTTGCATATTAAGCTTTTATTATTATAGATTATATGTTATTGTAATGGTAATAATTATATATCTCATAAAGAATATTCTCCTTACCACAATTGGTTTCAGCATTATGGCTTTTTAAAATATTTACATTAGTTCCAATATTTCAAATAATAAATTACATTGAAATGAAGTTCAGGCTTAAAGCACTGAATGAATTTTGAATTGTTTCCTTTGGGCAAAATTTAGGAGTGGGAATATGTAGTCAAGAGGCATAAAATATTAAGGCTTTTGATAGCTTCTTGGAAATTGTTTCTCAGAGTTTTTATTGGTTTTCTAGATGGTAATATGAAAATACATATAAAAATATTTAAAATGACTTTGTTATTTAACTTGACTATTAGGCACTTGTAATAAAATTAATAATGAATAAGCTAAAGTATTTGGAGCTATTTATTACTTTTTATAGAAGTAATCTAACAATAAAAGTTGGTTACCTAAGTTTAAAAACAAAACAATATATATATATATATATTAAATTTATTTTTATTTTTGAAAGTATTACAGATGTCCCACCATTTTTTTGTTTTTTCCTCCTCATCCCCACACACAACCCTCCCAAGCCTTCACCATCTATTGTCTGTGGCCATGGGCTATGAATGTAAGTTTCCCATTAATCACTCCCCATATCCCCACACCCCCCACTGCCTTCCTTCTGAAGTTCAATATTATATATTTTATAACCAATAAAATAATCTTGAAGCAAAAAGTAATGATATAAAATTGTTCTTGATAGAATGTCAAGTTAAAAACTTGATTATCATATATTATGTATATGGTTATACTACCTAATAAAAGAGTAATATGCAAATTAACCATCACTCTGCTGCACAAGCCATGCCCACAAGCCAATCAGAGCAAATATCCAAATAAACCCAACCAAGATGGCTACAGCCACAGAGAGCAGGAGGGAGGCGTTTCCTTTGCAATGGAGGAAGCCAAGCTTTCCACCTGCTCTGGCCAACCTAAGCCTCCACTCAACGATAGAAGGTAAACAAATCGAAACAGAAATGGCTGCCACCATGGAGTGAGCAGGAGGCTTGGCTCCGCTCTAGGCTACAAAGTTTCAGTTGTAGAAAGTAAATAAATCCCAGACAGGAGGGCCTCCACTTGGGTCCCTGGGGGGGAAGGGGGCGTGGCCAGGCTGCAAACCACCTCAGGCCCCTTGCTCAAACTGCCCCAAGCCCCAAGGGAACTCCCATCCTGATTCAGGACACCCTTCAGGGCAAACCAGCTGGTCCCATCTGTGCACCAGGCCTCTATTCTATCTAATAAAAGAGTAATATGCAGATTGACCATCACTCCAATATGGCTGCCCCATGTGGTCAAAGATCCTGCCCCTATGTGGACACAAGATGGCCAGCAGGGGAGGGCAGTTAGGGTTGACCAGGACAGCAGAGGAGGGAAGTTGGGGGCAAATGGGCTGGCAGGGAAGCAGTTAGACATCAATCAGGCTGGCATGGAGTGGTTAGGGGGTGTTCAGGCTGGCAAGAAGAAATGGTTAGGGGCAATCAGGAAGCCAGGCAGGTGAGCAGTTGGGAGCCAGCAGTCTTGGATTGTGAGAGGGATGTCCAACTACCCGTTAAATGGGGAGTCGGACATCCCTCGAGGGGTTCCAGATTGGAGAGGGTGCAGGCTGGGCAGAGAGACAACACTCCCCTCACACCCCCGCTCCTGTGCACAAATTTCATGCACTGGGCCTCTAGTATATGATTATATACACATATAATGTGCACTTACCACTAGGGAGCAGACACAAACATAGGAACTGCCCCCAGCCAGTGGAGCCCAATTGCCTGATTGGGACCTGCTGGCTAACCTCTCAGTCCCTTCCCCCAGCCAGCAGGCTCCAATTGCCCAATGGCGAATGGGAACCAGGAGTTGTTGGCGGCACATGTGGGTAGTGCCAGGCCAAGGCCCCTACAACCACCTGTCACCCCACACATAAAGAGTGACTGGCATTGAGGGGTGGGGCCAAAGAGCTGGTGGGAATAGCCAACCTCTCGGTCCTTCCCCCCAGCTAGCAGGCTCCAATCCCCTGATGGTGAACAGGGAAGTGGGGATGAGTGGCAGTGGGGCGGGGGTGGGGGTAGGGGGGACAGCTTCTGGCAGCCAGGGAAGATGGCCCCTAATCACAGGCCAGGCCTAGGGACAGAACCTGTGCATGAATATCATCTGCCAGGCTTCCAGTATATACATATATGGCTTGAATAATATATATATATATATATATATATATATATATATATATATATATATATACATATATATATATATATACACACACACACACACACATATATATATATATATATATATATATATATATATATATATATATATATATATTGAGTGACCAGATTATTATGACCACCCCATCAGTACTTTTAGTACTTTATTGGGCCACCTTTTGCCTTAAATACTACATATATATGCCTGATAGAAATTCATGTATTTTTAAATCTTATTTTAGATCTTTTTATATATTATTTATATGGAAAAATTGATACTATAATCAGGAAAAAAAAACACAAATAGAACAAGTTGTACCAATTTTATTTATACCACCTTTAGGTGAGAATACAATTTCCATAACTTTGTCAACTATCATTTTATTTTTAAAGCTAAATGTATTTTTAAATAACTGTACATTTTATGTAATGAGGTAAATTAAAGTGCTTTATATTTAAGAAATAGTATTTTTTTTTTCAATTTGGAAAGTCTATATGATAAAAAGCCTAAGCAACCATCATAACGGAATGGATGACCGAACAGGCTGTGTGGGGTGACCAGGCCCACAGGTGGATTAGTGAGGGACAACCAAATGACTGACCAGCAGGCTATGTGCGACAACCAGGCCCATGGTGGGGAGGCAGTAAGGGGTGACCAGGTCGGTGGTGGAGGAAGGGCAGTGAGGCATGACCAGGCTGGCAGGAGGGCAGTTGGGGGAAACCAGGTTGGAGGGGGGGCAGTTAAGGGTGACCTAACTGACAGGTCTGACAGGGCAGTTGGGGGCAACTAGGCTGGCAGAGGTGGCAGTTAGGGGTGACCAGGTAGTCAGGCAGGTGAGCAGTTAGGAGCCAGTGGTCCCAGATTGTGAGAGGGTGCACTGGGCCTCTAGTATTGTACAAAATAACTCATTGTTTTGCCCAAAAGTGAAAAATTTGTGACTGCCTTGGCAAAACATATCTATGAGTGACTAGAATTACTAAAATGGTAAAGGGCTGTCTCCTGAGGAGTAGATGGCATTGGTTAGGATGTTCACTAATCTGTCTGATGTCTGCCAAGATATTATCATGCTTCATTGGGTTTAATAATGTGTTTTCTTAGAGGGAAAATTTCACTTGTTTAATCTTTGCAATATGCCCTAATAAGGTCATATTTATTAGCAACTACATTTTGACCTATATAAAACAGTTCTGAATGTAGAATAATTTTTAATACTTTTAAAATAATGTGACAGTTGCTAACAACTTTGTAATAACGGTACCATAAAAATACGTAAGATACCAAGTATATACTAAATTTAGGAATATGATTTTGAAAGTCATCTCTATAAAACTTTAAGAAATAGATTATGTTTTTGTACCAGACACTTATTATTTCAAATAAATATATTCGATATATTGGATGACTTTGATTTCTATGCACAATTTCTTAAATATAGTAAACCTTTCCAATATAAATGAAAATCTGCTGATACAATACCTGCTTCAACTAGGAGTGAGCCTATCTGGTGTCTATGAATAAGATTCTGTGCTTTCAGCATGAAGTGGAAAACGGCAGGTCAGTGCTTTCACTTCTCCTTCTGAATGTATTAGTGATTATAACTAATTTTGTTATGATCTTAGGGAAAAATTTAACAACTTTTAATAATCCATTTGAAGTTTCACTTTTAGAATTTATATAAGCACCACTAAAGCTTTTCACAGATAATGTTTAAGATTATATCTTCTTGAAATGTGGATTTAACCCACTTTATATCTATACTAGAGGCCCGGTGCATGAATGGGTTCTGGTCAGCCTGCCCAAATGGTGGTCCATTGGGCTGGGCCAGTGGAGGGAGGGGCCACAGGTGGTGGCCCAGCTAGACCCACCTCTGATCGGGGTGTTGGGAGCCAATCGCAGGCCAAGCCGGCCAGTGGAGGACCAACTGGGGCCTGGACCAGGCTGGTTGGCTGCTGCAATGTACATTATAGCCACTGGTTGTTCAGGTCATTCTGGTTGTTCCGGTCACTAGGCTTTTATATACATCTAGACTAATAAAAGAAAATATGCAAATTGGTCAGGATGCCCTCACAGTAATGACCAAATAGCAGGCTGTGTGGGGCGACCAGGCCGGCAGGGGTGTTAGTGAGGGACAACCAGGCCAGCAGAGGGAAGCAGTTGGTGGTGACCAGGCTGAGAGAGGAAGGATGTTGGAGGCATCCAGGCCAGCAGGGGGAGAAGTTGGGGGAGACCAGGTTGGCGGGGGTGGGGTGGGGGGACAGGTGGCAGTGACCAGGCTGGCTGGGGGTGCATTGAGAGGTGTCCAGGCCAGCAAAGAAGGGAAGTGAGGGGTTACCAGGCCAGCAGGGGCCATTAAGGGTGACCAGGCCTATGGGGGGTTACTTAGGGGCAATCAGGTCAGTGGGTGGAGGGCAGTTGGGGGCAACCAGGCTGTGGGCAGCAGTTAGGGTTGATCAGATTGGGAAGAGGAAGTTATGGGTGATCAGGCAGGTGGTAGTGAGCAGTTAGGAGTCAGTGGTCCAGGATTGTGAGAGGGATGTTCACATATGCGATACATAAAAGGCTTCCACTGGCGCCAATCACATGTGTATGTTTAGATCTGTCATTGTCAATTGTGAATTTGGTTGACACTTCTATTATATTTAGGCCACAGAATTGGGCCTAAACCAGCAGTCGGACATCCCTCAAGGAGTCCTGGATTCGAGAGGGTGCAGGCTAGGCTAAGGGAACACCTCCCTGTGCATGAATTTTGGGCATCAGGCCTCTAATAGATACATAAAAGGCTAATATGCTAAGTGCTGGACCATCCAACTGTTTGCTATGATGCTCACTGACCACTAGGAGGCAGACACTAAATGTAGGAGCTGCTTTGACCTGCACAGAGAAATGGAATCACAGACCTGGTGCCCACAAAGCAACACACGGCTTCCCTGGAATGGGACACAGGCCCTGCCATCACTCCAGAGTGACAGCCCACCAAATCGCAGCTGACACTGCCGAGACCCCATGGAGCAAAATGCAGCCCATAACCCAGCCCACCTCTGAAAGGGTCACTGTGGGTGCAGGGTAAATGACGTCACATAGCAACACCCAGCTTCCTCTCCTTAGCAATGACTAGCCTTCTTACAGTTTCTTCAGCTCAGGAACATGACTTGCTTTATAGCAAAGTACAAACATTTCACACTTTAACGACCAAATATCTGTGAAGCGTTTTTCCGTGCCTCATCTCATTTGATCCTCACAGAAGTCCTGGAATACGTAGATAGGAGACTAGATGGAATACTATTTTCTTATCATTAGCCAGAAAACGGAGATTTAGAAAACTTAGAAACTTGACCAGACTGAAAAGAAGTAAAAATGGTGGATCTTGGAAATGACTTCAGGTTTTCTCACTGTGCAAAATATAGTCAAACACTGCTGCAGTTCAACATTTTACCCTTTGTTCTCTCTGCATGATCTACAGTAATGATCTGCTTTGTGTTGATTTTTACTGCTGTGTTTCTGACAATTAACTAAAAAAGAAGTTGGGATGCTTCACTGAGCTGGAAAAAGTTTAGCTACATCAGAAAGCAGGTCTAATTAAGCAAGTTTATTCTATATATATAAAAGGCTAAGTTTACTCACACATGGGTGATACATACAAAGCTTTCACTGGAGCCAATCACATGTGTATTTTTAGATCTGTCATTGTCAATTGTGAATTTGGTTGACACTGTTATTATAGAGAAAGGGCAAATAATATTGTAATATCAAAATATTTCTTCTAATTGATATCCTTTCAATGTGCATGAATCTGTGCTCGGGATACTAGTGGTTTTATAAAAATTGTAATTTTCTTTCATGTGATCATATAAAGCTATAAAAAATAGATTACTGATGATAATTATATGTAACCAAAATAGTCATGTTCAAAATTAAATGTAAAGAAATTAATGGACTCAATGAGTAAATTGAACTTTCTCAAAGAAATGTATAACAATCTATATATTTACTTCTCTTTACTATTAAGACAAAAAAAAACATCATATGCTTATGTTCTTTTAATAATGAATTCCTTTCTTTTGTATAGTGGGCGATATCAATTATCTCCACATTTCAGGAAATTTTAATATTTGTATGAATACACTTCCATTACTTTAAGAAAAGTTGCTTCTCTTTGCTTGAGATGACAGTGAAGACCTAGGAGGTTTTTCATATATACCAACCTTTGTTTACAAAGGGAAATGTATTGGGCAGAGCTGATGATTGACAACAAGCACCATTTTCTGAGCAAACATTTCAAAGGCAGTATATTAATTTGTCAATATTATCCTTGAATATGATGAGCATTTTAAGTAGTCCACATGACTGGACTCTTCATTTTGACATGTTTGATTTTAGAATTGCATAGTGTTCGCCGTTTATGTCATTTATATTGAAACCACTTGCAACTGCTTTCACATGTAGCTCCCCTTTTGCTAAAGAAGCCAGACTCCATGGCAGACATAAGAGATTGAATGTGCAGCCAATAATCTCTCTATCCTTCTCTATTGCAGGCTTCTAAATCATCTCAACTGCTGCTTTTCTGATTTTAGAAGCAATTAATTTCTAAAGTTAGTATTGAGACAACAAATATTCAGAGATGCATATACCTTGTTTAAAATTTATCTTTTTGGTTGAGAGTATTATAGATGTCCTCCAATTTTCCCCATTGTCTCCCCTCCACCAATTCTCACCCCACGCTGGGCCTTCACTGACATATTATCTGTGGCCTTCATATAAATTATTTAGTTAATCTCTGCCAGCCCTACCTACCTCCTTCCCTCTGCGATCTGCCAGTCTGTGTCATCCTTCCATGTCTCTGGTCTTATTTTGTTGGTTGATTTATTTTGTTCATTAGATTCCACATATAAGTGAGATCACGTGCTTCTTGTCTTTCCCTGACAGGCTTATTTCACTTAACATAATACTCTCCAGATCCCCCAGGGTGTCTGAAAGAGTAAGAGATCCTTTTTGATTCCATGGTGTAAATGTACCTGCTTTTAATCTACTCAACAACTGATGGGCACTTGGGCTGTTTCCAGATCTTAGCTATTGTAAATAGCATTTGTACTAGATGTGGGATCATTGTGTTAAATTTCAGTTTTATTTTTAACTTTTTGAGGAAAATCCATAATGTTTTCCATAGTGGCTGCACCAGTCTGGATTCCCACCAGCAGTGTTCCCTTTTCTTCACATCCTCGTCAGCACTTGTTGTATTGCTGATTTATTATGGTAGCCTGTCTTGTAGGTCTGAGGTGATAGCTCACTGTGGTTTTAATTTACATTTCTCTGATGGTTGGTGACTTTGAACACTTTTTCATATGTCTCTTGGCCATCTGTATGTCCTCTTCAGAGAAATGTCTATTTAGGACCTTTGCCTATTTTTAATTTTTACTTTTCTTTTATTCATTATTTTTAAAATATATTTTATATTGATTTCAGAGAAGTAGGGAAATAGAAATATCAATGATGAGAGAGAATCATTGATCATCTACCTCTGCATGCCTCATATGTCCTAACCAGGTATCAAACCTGGACCTCCAGGTTCATAGTTTGAGGCTCAACCACTGAACCACACGTGCTGGGCTGCCCATTTTTTAACTGGATTTGCTTCCTTTTGTTGAGTTTTATGAGTTATTTTTATATTTTGGAAATTACCCCCTTACCCCATGAATCGTTGACAAATATGTTCTCCCATACAGTGGGTTCTCTTTAAATTTTGAGGATGATTTTTTTATGGTGCAGAAGTTTTTTATTTTGATGTAGTCTCATTTGTTTCTTTTTCCTTTCTTTCCCTTGTCCTAGACAGTGGTCAGCAAACTCATTAGTGAACAGAGCCAAATATCAACAGTACAAAGATTGAAATTTCTTTTGAGAGTCAAATTTTTTAAACTTCTTCTAATGTCACTTCTTCAAAATAGACTTGCCCAGGCCATGCTATTTTGTGGAAGAGCCACACTCAAAGGGTCAAAGAGCTGTATGTGGCTCACAAGCCGCAGTTTGCTGACCATGGCCCTAGGCAATGTATCAGCGAAAATTCTGTTACATGAGATGTCTAAGATTTTGCTACCTGTTTTCCTCATTTTTATGGTTTCACAATTTACACTTATTTGTCCGTTTTGACTTTATTCTTATATATGGTGTAAGTTGGTGGTCTAGTTTGATTTTTTTGCATGGATCTGTCCAATTTTCTCAGCACCATCTATTGAAGAGGCTGTCTTGACTCCAGTGTATGTTCTTGCTTCCTCTGTCAAATATTAATTGAATGTAATGGCTTGAATTGATTTCTGGGTTCTCTGTTCTGTTCCATTGATCTATATGTGTGTTCTTGTGCTAGTATTAAGCTGTTTAGATTTTAGTGGTGTTGTAGTATATCTTGATGTCCATTTTGCATTTATTCTTGTGCACAGTGTAAGTTGGTGGTCTAGTATTGTGATCCCTCTGACTTTGTTCTTCCTTTTTAATATTGCTTGAGCTATTTGGGGTCTTTTTGGTTCCATATAGATTTTTAGGTTATTTGTTCTAGATCTGTGAATGATGCCATTGGTATTTTAATAGGAATTGCATTGAATCCTTAGATTGTTTTGGTTAATATGGACATTTTAATGGTGTTAATTCTTCCTACTCATGAACATGGTATATGCTTCCAGTTGTTTGTATCTTCCTCTATCTCTTTTTCCAATGTCCTATACTTTTTGGGTGCAGGTCTTTTACCTCTTTGGTTAAGTTTATTTCTAGGTATCTTTTGTTGTTGTTGTTGTTGTTGTTGTTGTTGTTAACAATGGTAAATGGATTGAATTTTTATTTTCTCTTTTAAAGAGATCATTATCCTATATAATAAAAGAGAAATATGCTAATTATCCATTACTCCGTGAGACATAATGAACGACCACTTAACGACTGGATCACGGATCTGCAGGAGAGTGGGGCAGCAAACTACAGGTGGGCGGCAGAGAGCTACCAGAGGAGGCAGGGAAGCAGGCGGAGAGCTACAGGAGGATGGCAGAGAGCTACTGGCACACGGATTAATGCATAGGGCTACTGTTTTGTGCATTTTCGTTCGAGGTATGTACCATAAAGAACTGATGTATGTACAAGTGCTTAAACAAACACACACACACACACACACACACACACACACACACCTGCTACATAGTAAGGGCTGTACAATTGTAGATGCTGAAAGTATATGTGAGAGTTTGCTAGAATGTTAAAACATCACATTACAATATTTTACATTTTGTTTCTTTGGTGTTTTGCTTGGGAGATTAGGATTTTTAGGGCAATAGCCACATCCAGCACTTTTTTTTTTTTCTTCAATTTTGAAGAACTGTTTATTATTTGAAGAAGAAGAAGACCACCCATTTCGTAGAAGGTGGAGATGCTGGCAACAGGGAAGACCAGATCAACAGGCTTATTAGAAGGATGAACTAAGGTATCTACTATCGTTATTTTTGTAATCTGGTCAGTTAATAAACATCCAGCACTTTCTGACCCTAAAGTTTACATTTTGTAAGAAGAGAGGCGGTTAAAAACTTTGTGATTGACTAAATAATATATAAGTACCATGTAATACACACACTAAATTTCTATTTTTGTTTTTTAAAAAGTTTATATTTATTAAATGACCCAAATCTCTGATTCCAATTCACTGTTTTATACTGGACTTTAGAAACAAAATAAAACAAAACAAAAAATCTGCTGATTATACCACTAGATGGCAGAAAAAGATCAGAAAATTTTCATTGCATACTCATACATGAAAAAGTATGTATAATGCATTCAAAGCTTACTGGAATTACATATATACATAAAGTATTATTTAATTAAGCTTTAATTATAAATAAAAATGTTTTACACATTTTATCAAATATACCTTTTAATATGAAGAAGTTTATACTTTTTTAGTACATATGTATACATATATGTGATATATGATACATATCTGATACATATACATTAAGTTTTTAGAAAAGCTTAGGTAAAATGGTGTTGATTTTGTTTTGTTGAATTGATTCAAGATTATCTTAACCTTGCTTTTTTACTTTAAGGTTGAATTTTTATAGTTATCCTTATGTCCCAACTTGGTCTTTTCCTTTCTTCTCCTTCTCATCCTTATCACATATCACTTATCTTCCCTCATTTCCATCTCATCTCATTTCTTTTATTGTTTGGATGAATTAGTTGGGTTATAGAAATGAAATAAAGAAATATAAAAGTTATGATTTTAGAATTAGTTAAGGAAATAAGTTTTCTGTTTTCCTCAATTCCTTAAGAATTAGAAAAAAATCAGACTTATTGACTTATAACTTAGCATAAATAAATAAGGCTAGATGTAGGGAAGATTGTCATAGATTTGCTAAGCAAAAATGTGGAGGTCATCTCCAAAAATTTTCTAAAGACAGGTTATTATTTGCTCAAATATCTATAATCCCAATATAAATAAATAGATAGATTTTTTTATCCTTGATTCTGTAGATAAATTTATTTTTATACATATGCTTATAAAACACTGAAACATATTTTTAATCATAATAGTACACAGTATATCAGCAAGCTCTGAAGTCTTATGGCTCTAGCTGTCTATGCCATATGCCTTTAACATTACTAGAAATGTGCTTTAAAAAATAAGTAATAGAAGCATTTTTTTTATCCAACAAGACTGTAAGCACTTTGTGGGCTGAGACAGTATCTGAGACATTTTCCATTTCTAGAATTCTTATTATATAAGCACTTAGTAAATATTTATGGTTTCATTAATTGCCTTCTTAGTATATAACCTCAAAAAAATCAAATCTTCTAAGGAATATTTTAGAAAATATAATGATCTATAACCATTTATATTTTCCCATCAAATGTCTCCTCTAACCTCAAAAGCTTCTGCTTTCCTTTCTTTCTTTCTTTCTTTCTTTCTTTCTTTCTTTCTTTCTTTCTTTCTTTCTTTCTTTCTAATTTCTCTTTTTATTTCTCTTTCTCTCTCTCTCTTTCTTTCTTCTTTCTATCTATCTATATATCTATCTATATATCTATCTATATCTATGTCTATATCTATATCTATATCTATATCTATATCTATATCTATATCTATATCTATATCTATATCTATATCTATCTATCTATCTATCTATCTATAGTTATATTTGATTTTTTTTTTACAGAGAGGAAGGGAGAGAGATAGAGAGCTAGAAACATCTATGAGAGAGAAACATTGATAAGCTGCCTCCTGCACACCCCCTATTGGGGATGTACCCACAACCAAGGTAAATGTCCTTGACCGGAATTAAACCTAGGACCCTTGAGTCCACAGGCCTACACTCTATCCACTGAGCCAAACCGGTTTCAGCGCTTCTGCTTTTCTTAGTATTATGTTCCTGATTACTACAATCTTTCAGCCCTTTAAGTATAGTTTTATATAAAAGGCATTTGGGAAGCACGAGGAGCTTACATTCCGACTTGAAACTGTGTAGTGAATAGCCATACATGAGGGCCCAGTCATGCGAAAGCCATGGAAGCCCCTGACTAGATTTAGTCCCTTCCATGATTTTCAGAGATTCATGGGGTTTCTATTTTGACCTTCAGCAACTTCTACTGTTTATTCTTATGAAAGAAGAGAACAATTGGATTAAAAAGATTATTGATATATAGTTCCAGTAGCCTGTGATTTACAGGCTTAGTTGGAATTCCCTCACCCAACCCCTAAAACCAAAAGCAAGATCCAGATTATTTATGCCTTTCAAGATGCACCTGATTATTTTTTGAATAGTCTAGTTGTTCATCCCCCTTTAGGGAATGTTTCCCACCTCATGATATTCAATATAGCACAGGTTTCCCAAATTGTGTAACTGATCTCAGTATTAATAAGTGGAGTTCCAGAGTCCAACAGTTCCATTTCTCATAATGCAGGAATTCTTAACAATCCAGGAATTTTGAATAATAACAAGAATGATAATGACAAGGACAACTTTACCAACATGGATTGATCTCTTATAATAATAATTATCAATGGAGCTCAAAGCAATGCAGTAGGTTTTGCTATATTTTGCTAGGATAACCTTAAAAAGCTTACCAACAAATGTTTTTCTCACTATATCACCTGTCTCAAATTGTACATAATTCTGCTGCACAAATTGTTTTCATTTTAGTTCTAGGCTAAAAAAATCAGCCTCTATCTTAGTTTCATTAAAAAGATAAAAAGCAGAACATCTCATGTTTTTTTTTCTCCAATCATAAAAACATCTCACATTTTAATGGGAGCATATTTTTCTTAATTTAATAAACTCTGATACATAATCTATTTTTCTAATATTTTATTTGTTTCCATAATGTGTTTAAATTGTTCTTATAATCATCCTAGAAAAATTAACCCTTATTACATATCAATTTACTAATAGCTGGAAAAATTTCCCACTCATTCTCTCATTTCAAATTAAGTGTTTTCAGTGAGGAAAAAGAATAGATATCTTAGCTATTTTTTTTTCTGTAAAAGATCTAGTCACAATATACTATAATGAGAAAAATAACCACCATTCTTTATAAACATTTTTAGAGGTTTTCACAGATAAAATGAATGTTGAGAGATTTGAACAAAGAAAAAAGGAAATGTCCCAAACTAAAAATATGAAATTTTACTACTAGTCTGCTAAATTTAAAATATGTGCCTGCTTTGTTATGTTTGAAGTTAACAGAAAATTAGCAACTACAAATTCACCATTTAAAAAGATTTTCTATTTGAGAAACTTCCTACTCTCTTTTTCATTGCTAGAACTGTCAAATATACATACACACACACACACACACACACACAAATATATATATTATATATATATATATATATAATATAATATATATATATCCTTATTATCAGTTAATGTTATGTTCTACCTGAAAGTTTTATTTGATTTTATCTGTACTTTTCACATCTGTTCATAATAATAATGAATTATATACAAGTATTTACTAAAACTCTAACAAATGTATATGAAAAATATATTTTTCCTTCACATTTTATATTTTTTATTAAGATATCCCCTTTCTTACAACACATATGATTGTTAAGAAACATACTGCTTATGTTCCAGGTTGTTCTCAATGCCATTCTAAACAGATTATCCACAGTTGGTTCCTCCATGATTCTTATTTTACTGGTATGTATAGTAAGTAAATACGGTAAGTATTGCCGCTGAATATTTTGTCTTTTATTTCTCTTTTACATCATATGTGTTTATTAATATTTTTTTAACTCTTGACTTTCAAGGTAGTTTCAAATTCCATTGAAAGCTAAGGTAGTTGTAATGCTAAACAAATGGTATTGTCTGCTTATTATAACACTCATAGTATCATAATGGCTGAAATATTTATTTCTATTTTGAGAATTTATCAATCTAGGAGTTACCTAACTCTTAAGAAATATTATCAATCTGCTTATAATCCTTCCAGATGCTGGCAAGAGCATAAAGGAATAATAGGACAATGTCCTCATCCACAAAAAGTTTAAAGTTCAACCATCTATATAATATCTCAACAGGGCAATATTATTTCTTCCTCTTTCTCTTATTTCCTGCCAAGTTTTCCTCAGCTGTTGAGAGTTTCTATGGCTTATGCCCAAGAAGATTTTGCTACATAATCAGCATAAAATGTTTTCTGAAGAGGCTTGGTATACACCACTATGAGAACAACTCCTGGACATACTGGCAAGTTTCTTAATTGTCTTGCCCTTCAGTGAAGAACACTCTCTAGACAATACATGGAAAAGGTTGCCATCCCCAAGCTGAGCATCACTTACCCTTGAAGTAAATGTGTCTGGTTGTTATCAAATTGTGCTATTTGTTGGTATTTAATTGGATTGGCCATGAATGACTAACCTTCTAGAAATTTTCTAGTCCTTGTAGTAATTCATATGATATCTGCTATAAGATGAAAGAAGAAGTCTGAAAATTTTTGAGAATGAAAATTAGGACAAATCTTCAATCTTTTTCAAGGGAACTACTAGATTTTGGAAGAACAACCTTTTGTGGTGAGGGGTTTTCTAATGTATCATAGAATATTTAGCCTCCCTGTTTCTAAGCAATAAATGCCAAAAGGTCCCTCATCTCAGAGACTGTTACTATTAAAGCATCATGAGTATTTTACTCATGGGTTTTGGGAGTGGAAGAGACATTACAGGCCCAGAGAATCAGGTATTTGTAAATTGTTTTTTCCTATTAATATTAAAATGTGAATTCACATTTTAAATTCCTACATTTGAAACATATATACAAAATTAAGCAGAGGAAACTTTCAAGCAAATATACATTTCTAAATATAACTGTTACAAAGTACATTCTTTTTTTTCTTACCCCTTCTTCTTCCCCTACCTTCCTCTGAGGTTTGAAGGTCTATTCAGTGCTTCTCTGTCTCTGGATCTATTTTTGTTCATCAGTTTATGTTGTTCATTATAGTCTACAAATGAGTGAGATTATGTGATATTTATCTTTCTCCAAATGGC